ATAATTTTCAAAACGGTGTTTGAAGACACAAGAAGCCAATTTTCAGGGGTGCAGAATGTCGCACGCCTTAGGAGGGCATTAAAGAGCATCGCTAAGGAAGCGGTTAAGTCATTGTTGTTTACTTTGCGTGAACCTAAAGAAATAATGAACGCTCTCGAAAGAAGATTCGGTAGGGTTGAGATGCTCATTCTAGCCGAAATCGAGAATGTAAAGCGTATGCCAAGATTTGCAAATCGCATTACGAACGTGGTTGCTGCAATCCAAGCGTTGAACCAACCACAGTATTTATACTCACGGGAGTTAGTACGCCGTATAGTGGAGAAACTTGGAACTATGATTAAATTTAAATGGTTCGAATATCGAGCTCAGCATCCTTTGGAGCCAGAGTTACAGAAGATGGCCAAATTTTTGAATTCATTGAGTGAACAATTTGGAACGTCCTTAAGCAATGAAAATGTGCCTGAAAAGCGGAAAGGTCCTGAATTCAGGAAGCAAACTGTACACACTGCAAAGGGGTCTGTACGGAACCGTTTTAAGAGCGAGCGTTATGAACGCCGAAATAATAAAGGGCACAACTGACAAGTGGTTATGATAACCCAGGATAAGCCTGTAAGTCGGGTAACACATAAGTGTGTTATATGTAACAAGGAACACTCTATAGTGAGTTGTTACATATTTAAGGATATGAATAATCGCGAAAAATGGGAAGCGGCTAAAAAGGCGAAAAGTGTGTTTCCAATGTTTGTCACCTAACCATAGGAGGTTAGAGTGCAGAGCGAAAAAATGTGGTGTAGAGGATGTAGAATGGCACATCATCGAATGCTACATCGATACCCCAATAAAAATACCTCGCCGCAAGGGGATGAGGGGGGGTAAAGAGGCTCAAATTACAACTGTTGGTACAGTGAATGCACTGGCATGTGCATATTTAAAAATTATACCGGTCGAGTTGTATGGACCTAGCGGAAAGGTCAAGACCACAGCTCTTCTGGATGAAGGATCAACCATGACACTCATAGAGGAGTTGATGGCTCAGAAGTTAGCGCCTCGCGGACGCAAAGAAGAATTACGTATTGCAGCCGTAGGAGGTAAGCGAATTAACGACGACAGTTCGTATCGCTTAAACGTTAAAATAAAAGGCATTTTCTCGAAAGACTTAGAGGAGATAAGTGTACAAACAATTAAGTCACTTAACCTTTCTCCGCAGTCAGTCAGCCGAGAATTATTGCAACGGTGTTCTCATTTGACACCGATTAAGGACGAGTTGATTTATGAGAGTTCCAGACCTACCATATTAATTGGCCAGGACAATTGGCATCTCATAGTTACTCGTGAATTAATTTTCAGGAGGTAAGAACCCACCTGTAGCATCGCTCACCACACTTGGATGGGTTTTACATGGTCACATATCGGGTGGCATTAGACCAACCAAGATTGTTAACCACATTTCCACCAAGAAGGAGGAGGACATGGAGAAGTTAATCAAGGATTATTTTAGTTTCGAATCGAGTTTTTGAATAAAACGGTACGTCATATGCCTAATAATAGGTACGAGACTGCTTTGTTATGGCGCACAGATAATGAGTGCATGCCGTCGAATAGAGCGCAGGTTTAAAGTCGCCTGTTTAATATCGAAAAGAAGTTCGATAAAAATAGCGAGTTGAAAAAAGAATATGAGAAGCAAATTGAAAATCTCATCATTAACGATTACGCAGAGAAATCGAACCATATTTCCATTTCCCCACGCACGTGGTATCTTCCTCACTTTGCAGTGACTCATCCACAAAAAAGGAAAATAAGAATAGTTTTCGACGCTGCCGCAAGGACGGGCGGACGTTGTCTCAATGATGCATTGTTAACCGGACCGGACTTATTGAAGTCGTTATTTGGCGTTCTGCTATGATTCAGAGAAGGAAGCGTGGCAGTGATGGCAGACATTAAAGAAATGTTCCTGCAAGTGAAAATTCGGGAAGAAGAAAGGGACAGCCTTCGATTCTTATGGCGGCACAATCGTGACGGCACATATTGAAGAATTAAGGCGTTGGGACCGGGACGACCTCGGAAGACCCGTAATCCCCGCCTGAACCCATTTGAAGAAAAGGAAGAGGTCGACGCCCTTGTGTGTTACTCCGTTGCGGGGTTCACATACGTTGTTCCCGAACCCAACGTAGGTGTCCTAGGAGGTTAGGGAATCCGCTGCTGAACGAGCCGGAACAAAGACTCTTCCCTCGTTCCTGTCCTTTTCAGCTCTTTATTCACTAAGAATAAAGAGCCGTGGTAGTTCAGATGGTTAGCGCTCGCTGTAAATTTCACAGTGCGCAAGTAAACCGGGATCGATTCCCGCCGGCACCAATGAAATTATTAATTCCAATTTTAAGTGCTGTTTGACGTGCTCAGCGGTGAAGGAAAACATCGTGAGGAAACCCGAATGTCTGAGAAATAAGAAAAAAATATTTCGAAGACATGTGAAGTTCGCCAACAAGCATATTGCAAATATAATTCCTTGCCCTAAAACCCTCTCAGAAAAGAGCGGAGACCTGTGCCCAGGAGTGAGATGTAGATAGGCTGTAACTTTAACTAATGATAAAACAATGAAATACTTTTTATCACAAGATTAGTCAAAACATAAGCATGTGCCGGCAATTTGCTCAGTACTAGATGATGCATAACTGTCAGGTGTGGCGGGGAGTGAGAGCCAGGGTCCAGCGCTAATCCCGCGCACTATACGGTAACAAGTTTCGACATAAATTGATTAAGTCCCGAGGTTATCCTGCCGAATAATGTTCGGCCGAATATACTAAAATTTATGAACATTCGGGAATATTGTATTTCTATTCCCCCCTAATAAATATGACCTAAGGTATTTTTCTGAGCAAATTTTTATAATGGCCACTAAATTCAAATTTAAAACGTTGCGTTGGAGTGTTTTATATGGTTTATCAAATTCTTTTACTGTAGAATTAATGCTCTATCGGAGGCACCTTTGGGTGTACTTCCTCCATAAATCTTTCTTTTGTTCGTTCGCATGATTCTGTAACAACTTGCATTTAATAAACTGAAAAAAAACTTCTTTTTTTTTCTTAAAAGAATATTAACAATGCTATAAACATTGCAAATATTCCCTTTAAGCACTCATCGTAAGCTCAAATTGCTTGTGTTACGAGTGGTTCACGCCAGCAGTCGAATGGTGGATTCGAACCCACGACCTTTTTGAGTTCGGGGTCCCCGCCCTGCCATTAGGTTACTGTCGCTTTATCTTGTACTCCATGTTAAGTATACCCAGACCACTATTGTGTAGGTTGACTATGTATTGTTGTATGTATGGTTGTATGTCAATTAGCCCCGAAGTAATATGGTCTACTAGCCCCCGGGTCCACTTTTAATTTTTGACCACATGGTATAGGCTCGAAACTGGGGCTATTTAAATAAGGATTATACCTAAGAAAAAAATTAAAAATCAAAGTTTTATTGTAAATGACTTGAAAGTAAATAAAAACGAGTATTTAGGCGTTAATAAAAAAAATATGAGGAAAATAATTACTCACATGATCTGTTTTTCGATAATATGCTCCTTCTCCCGAACGACGTGCCCGGTACCTTAGCGGGGGAATAAAACGGTTTCTCGCACCTATATAGTTGGATGAGGCAACACTTTCGAGTAGATAGAGTTATTGACAGTAAGTCAACCTGCCCCTATAGTCAACCATCCCCGTGCCCCCCTACTTCTAAATTAGAATATAACTCTCGAAAGTTATTAATTTATAGAAAAATTTATGTCAGTACATCAGATATGGAAGTGAAAAATTTGAATCAATCTAAAAAGACAACTACTTCAGAATTTTTTGATGGTGGGCAATGTTGACATTTTGGGTCTGAATTTTGTATATTTTTTTAGGAAGTGAAATTTTTTTATTTAATGATCGAAAATATAATAATGTCCCCCAGACCGAATTTCGGTCACGGCGGTCAGCAACGAAGACTAGTCATCGGCGCAGGACAGGATTATAGTGTTAGTGCCACTTGGACACTAACACTATGCTCAGGCACAGGTACACACTCTCTATTCCCTCACTCTCATAATCCGATGGGACGGTAAACAGACACAACCGGAGAGAGATCAGGCGCAGGGCCAATGGCTTTACGTGTTTTCCGAGGAGGACACCGCCAACTTCCTGACTCCGGGCAGTTACTGAGAATTTCTTGACGGAAAACCCAATATACTCATTTATTTTGGCCCGACCCGGGATTCGAAGACTTCATGATAGTATATAGTTAATAATATATGCAGTATGCACATATAGATTTATTCATATATATATATATATATATATATATATAGGTACATACATAATGAAATATAGCTGTTTCTGATTTAAACACCTGTAAACACTTGTCAAATTAAAACAGAAAAATGGAACAGCTATATTTTAAGGATATATTATGTGCACAATGTGATAGCGGGGAGGTAGCCATAGATGGTCGTATTTACGTAAACCGAAAATGAAGCGTATACAATTATTAAGACGATCAGTTTGTTTAGAAGTTCTTGAGAGGCATCAGCACAGCAAACATCTATAATTAAAATGGGCAACTTAGTAAAAAATTCTTGAAACAATACAGATAACGCAGTGTTTATATTTTTTAAATAAAAATATAACTTTATCACAATACTTTATTCAAGTTCTTATCAAGTGTACAATATGCGTGATCCCGCGCTTTTATTACAATTTTTACTTCTTAAAATGAGCGTGTCAAACTTAAAGCAAACCATAAATTAATTAAAATATAATAGTCACAGAATATATAATTTAACATTTTATTAATTAATATTGTAAAAGAAATAAAAATATTTTGTCAAACATTCCTTTTTCAAATTAGTAAAAAAATTATAAAATAGGCAAGATTTAGCTAAAAGAGTTTTTTTTTTAATTTTTGTGATTTTATAACATTTTAAATTCAAACAAATTAAATTTGTAACTATCTCATCGGTGATAAAATAATTACGCGGGGGTCAAACTGGACAATATTTTTTTTCCCAATATGTCGGAAGAAATTTGTATTATAAGCATTGCAAGTTCTTTACTGTAATCGCCATTATGTATCAAAAATTGTGCCGCTTTCTTGTAGTCCTCTATACCCAGTCCTGCCAGGTAGTCATAGACCACGTCAAACAGCTCCGACAGTTTTGATTTTACGTCCTCCCATATATCTCGCATTGATACAACTGAAAAAAATTGGAATTAGTAACGTTTGTTTAGATTTGGTGGATTTTTGGTGTGAATGGTATTAGATGATTTCTTAGCCTAAGCTAACAACTTGACATCTTTCAAAAGGAAAATTATTGGAGCACGGGACTTATTAAAGTGCCGTGAATGTTCGTGAAAACAACGAAAGAAAAAATGACGTTCAGATTTTAGATTAGATCTCAAATTCAATTAATTACTAAAATCCAATATATGTTATAAGTATATCAACCATTTAGACACATAACTACCAACGAATAGATACTTTGAAAATGTTTATGACACAATTCGACGAAGATATTGTGGAACCAAAAACTTCTTTATAATCTGCTGTGCAACATCAAAAAAGCCCAACTGGGTTTCTTATTGGTGCTTCTTGCAAGACAAAGGTTTTTTGCTAACCAGTTGTAAAATATCAAAATGACTCAACATAAGTTATTTATAATCTATATTGAATAGAATATTGTATTTTGTTGTATTCTATCGATTCATAGAAATATTATATGAACCTCCTTTTTTGAAGTCTGTTAAAAATCCTGTTAACATAAACCTAACAACGAATAAAAGTATGTGATTCTTACTAATAATTTATATTTTATCAACATCCTTATTAATAAACATTATAGAGGGCGGACGGTAGGCGAGGCGTCACGTCGTGCAGTATTTATTTTAAAACAAAGAATGAAATATATGGAATTCGTATATTTCAATATAAAAAATATATTTTAAAGACTTATTTATTTAATTTTTACGATTTTTTAGTATTTTAAACCAGTTGAGCTAATAAAAATCAGTTAAATATTTTTGTGGGTAGATAAAAATAAAATTCACAATCTATATTATTTTAGTTCATTAAAATCCACTAACTGGGATCCATTTTGATTCAAAACATAGTTTCTCAACGAAACTTTGTACACTATCGTTTAAAATATATGTGGTTACTTACCGACAAAACCTATCCCACAGGCGCCGCCAACTGCGCCTCCAATGGTTGCACCAACTTTCCCGCCATAGTGCTTTCCAATTAAAGTCCCAGCGACTGTTAATCCTGTTGTCACCAGTAAAGCGCTTTTTGCTCTTTGATCGTTCCAAATCACACGAAAATCAAATTTGTCAGTAATATTTAAAATAATGTTTTCCAAAGAGATAGGATCAAATGGTAAGGCACTGCTGTTTGATCTTTCAATACAGCACAAATCATAGTCGTCTTCGTGCTCAGAATCCATTGTATGAAGCAAAGTAATTTAGGAGTCAGTTAATAAAAAAATCGTTTCTTGTTTCCAGAGAGCTTCTTGTTTGCGTACGTGTCGCACTGATGACTTGCAGGTAATTAAAATCACAGATCACTATAAACGCCTAAAATAAAAAATGATTTTTTTTTACCGGAACTTCTATCATCGCGTGTTGCCAATAACAAAAATATGTTGGTATATTTTATTCTGTATTATGTCACATAACTGGATGATTTATTTCATGGAATAACCGTATGTGTGTGAGCACTGAGGTAATTGCTGTGAATTACAAAAACAAATTGCTTAGAATTTAGTAGTAGATTTAATATTATGGTTGTATCAAGAATGGGTCGGCTCGACCGGGGATGCCGCTGTGTTTCGTATCGTAAGTGTAGAGAACCGAAGACCCATTTTACTGAAATCGAGGCATTCCATCTTAGTCCACAGGGATGACAAATCATATCTACATTTTGATTCTTAATCGAGGTTACGTATACTAACGTGACCATACGTCCCGTTTTGAACGGGACTTTCCTTTTTTCGGAACTTCGTCCCAGTATCCCAGAGAACAGTTTCGGGACGTAAGATTGTCCCGTTTAATAGAAACTGTAAGATTCAAACACATTTTAAATGGCGTTTCAGAAGCGATTGATGCTAGCTTGAGCCGGAACCGGGCGAGTTTGCTGTTTCGCTGGCTGTATGGTGCAATAAAGAAAAGGCGTTAGGTAAACATATAATGCAAATGTCAAATGCGAAGAATTAGTACTTAATATAAGCTTCTTTGTTGCATGATACCGATAACTGTTCACACATTAAAATTTTAAATCTTAAAAACTAACAAGGCGATAGCATTGTCAATTCTTTAGCCTACGTTGATGGAAAATAATAAGACTTTACGATCAAACCAACGTTGCCGGCGTGAAATTCTGGTATTTCTGGTAAGCAAAGCATTTTTTTTTTCAAAATAGTCCGTCTATTATTTAAAAAAATCAAACCTGATATTTCTGAAATTTGTTACTTGTTTTTTTTTATTGAATAAGAGCGACAAACGAGCAGTACACCTGATGGTAAGTATATCCCATAGACAACTTCATCTATTCTCGCTATAGAATTAAAATGCAGATGTGTTATCAACCATGGAACGACTACTTACCAGTAAATAAAGCTTCCGGTTCTCTCAGCTCAGCTTGCAAAACACAGCAGCATTATTCTGCTATTTTACGCTGGTATTCTGTGAGAGCGTGGTCCTTCCCGGTCGAGCCGACCCATTCATGCTACAAACATAATATAGCTGCAGCGTGACTCTGCCACGTATAAAATACGTATATAAGTCGTTTAGTCGTAGTAAGACTCTGATCAGGATCACCAGGATAAAATAAAATATTTATCAGTATTATCACAGCTCATGATCAATAGTTGTTTAAGTTTTTTTAACTCTTATATTATTATGTTATTAATAAATTATTGAAGTAGATATAAACAGATAATATGCAAATATTATATGGATAAATAATATCATTTTAATGTTATTATGGGGTTGGGTTTACAATTCGGTCGCCTGAATTTGAAGATTCTGTCACTGTGGGGGAGTCAAGGGGGTTTATCTAAAGCACCCCTACTCGATTTTTTCTGCCGGAGCAGCGTCGAAGTATTTTTAAAAAATATTGGTAAATGACTAATTAATTACGTTTTTGACGTTTCATCTGTCAATGTCATATCGATATATAGTACTGAATCGATCTAGTGAATCGATATTTCACCCTAGAGAATTGAGATCGAATCTTTTTCTGTTTTATTGAGATTTGTAAAATTATTTACAATTAGTTGAATGTACCCCAACTCGTAAAGAATGACAGTTTTTAATTCTTCTAAGATCTTTAAGATTTCGATTTTTTGTGAATCGATTCATCCAATTTCGATTTGAATCGATTTAAAAATATGTAAAATTAATCGCTATGCCGGCCACAGCTTTTTTTGTTGACAGCTTTTCGTCATGCCGTGGCTTCCGAGTTTCAGAATTTTGGTGAACAGTGAAATATTTGTGGCAGCGGAATACTGTTAAATATCGCAAAGGTTCTTTCTTACAAATAGTGGCAGCCATAAATTATGTTTATGAATTAAAGTAGTTATAAAAGTTAATATTTTGGTGTTATATCGAGTGCAATAACGAGCGAAGCGAGCCTGGGACGTGGAGCGCGCCGACTCGGACAGGTTAGGTTAGAAGATTGGTTCCTCTTCGTGGTTATTTTCTTGTAATCCACTCAGAAGTAGGAGCCCCGCGAAGCGGGACTCCGTCGACCGGACTTCCCTCGACTTCACCGCGTTAAGTGGCGTGGGGTTTCGGTCCCCCAACTCTCTCTCCCCATAAAACAGGTTAAAATTGTCATAAAAATTACGAAACATAACCTCAAAATGAGATTTTTAATAATTTATAAAAAAAACTAAGCACGTTCGGCAGAAAGTGGAAGTAGGGGGTGACTCTACAACTCCTCCCCCTCCCCCCACACCACCCCCACCCCATAATTCAGGCGACCGAATTGTAAACCTTACCCTTATTATGGGTCAATTTAACAATTTTAAAAATAAATATGTATTCCTTTGAAAGATCGTAGTAGTAAGTGTTCGTACACATTAATATAATGTGGACAAGAAGGGAGATGGCTGTCACGTCATACATGTGAACAGGTGCTAATTGTGGGGGCTGGTCTGATCGGGTTTCACAGATATTTCAGTGATAAGATGAAAATTTAAGGTCCCATTTTGAGCGTTGAAGAGAACATGCTCCAGTGACCGATGAATTTCATTATTATTTTCCTTTCTATAAACTTAACTATGTCATTAAAAACGACAGAAAAGAGAATAACTGCAGAGTTTCTTTTGCCGTTTTTTCTTTGGTCACAGAAACTTATTATTTTGAAACGTTATAAGATTTGAAAAAATGAAAGTTGTCAAACAAAATTTTATTTTCTTACCTCGAAGCACCGCGTCTAAGAAATAAATATATTTCATTTCATTTCATTTAACATTAAAACATCTGATAATTTACCATTGGCGTAGTGGCGTAGTAACTCAAGCAAGTGATTATATTTTAATTTTAATTTAATTTAACATTTAATTTAATTTAACACAGTACGTAACACAGCCTACACATTTCACTGAGCATAGCTCAACATTACTTGATATAATTTGTAGTGATGTTGTAGTCACAAAGGTAAAAGTGGATTTTATACCGAGTCTAAGTAATCATGCCTTCATAGAAGCAGAACTTCAAATAACAAAACCAAAATTACCTCCCCGTAAAATCACATATCGCTCACTAAAAGACATCGATATAAATGTTTTTGATAATGACATTGACTCTATTGACTGGGAAGCAATTTCAAACCTAGTAGATGTAAACGAGATGGTGCTTCAGTTTAACAACGCCATAACTTTCGTTTTTGATTGTCACGCACCCATCAAAAGTACTCGTATTAAAGAAAATACATATCCCTGGATTACATATACTATCCGTCAGATGATGAAATTACGTAATGAAGCTTATAAGCGTTATCGTTCGTCTGGACTGAGCAGGCATAGAGATTATTACAAGGAGCTGAAGAGTCATGTAATTACAGCATTACAAAATGAAAGGCGTGCGTATTTTAATCAGTATATAAACCGTAACCTGAATAATTCTAAAGTTCTCTGGAAAAACCTGAAGCGTTATTCCAATCTAGCCAGCAAACACCGTGTTACTGAAATCCCCGAGCATTTACAAAACCCAGACAGACTGAACTCTCATTTTTGTACGGTACCCGGTAAAAGTGTAACACCAATATCGAGTCTTACTTATTACGAATTTCATCGTTTTGGAAACGTTTGGAAAAATTTTGAGTTAAAGCCCACTGATGAAACCACAGTTTCAAAAGTCATACGATCACTTAAATCAAATGCGTTAGGCAGTGACGGAATATCTCTTGAAATGTTGCTACTGACGCTTCCACGTGCACTCAAAGTTGTAACAGCCATTATAAACGCTTCACTTCGCACATCTACTTTTCCCGACGTCTGGAAAACAGCCATAGTTAGGCCTCTACCCAAAAAAAATAATGTGTCAGATATAAAAGACTTAAGGCCAATTAGTATTCTACCTTGTTTATCAAAGGTTCTCGAGAAAATCGTATGTATGCAGCTTTCAACTTTTTTAGAGTGTAATAATATATTACCCGTTTTTCAATCCGGATTCAGAAAGGCACGAAGTACATCAACAGCCTTAATGGATGTGGTTGACAATATCTTGACATCACAAGATAATGGACAAGGCACGATACTGGTCTTGCTTGATTTTTCCCGAGCATTTGATGCCATAAATATTCCATTATTGTTATCCAAAATGAGTTACTATGGTTTTGAATTACCTGCTGTTCGATGGTTCGACAGCTATTTATCCAATCGGACACAGATAGTAACTATTAACAAAAACGATGGCGCTCAGATGTGCTCGTCTCCACGCCCTGTAACCAGGGGAGTACCTCAAGGATCTATACTTGGTCCACTTATTTTTATTCTATACACAGCAGACGTATGTCACCATATAAAGCACAGCAAGTTCCACCTATACGCCGATGATATACAGATTTATCTCCCATTTTTTCCCAGTGAAGAAGAAAGTGCAGTAGCAAAAATAAATGAGGATTTGCATCGCATCTCATTATGGTCAGAAGCGAATACACTTGTGCTCAACCCATGTAAATCAAAATTCATGCTGTTAGGGTCAAAAGGACAGGTTGATCGTATAATGAAAAAGAAATTTATTATAAGCATACGTGGAGAACCGGTGGAACGTGTAAGTGAGACTCGTAATCTAGGATTGCTGATGGACCAGGGTCTTCGCTTTGAGAATCATGTACTTGAGATCACACGAAACTGTTTTTATAGACTCAAAGTACTCTACCAAGTGCGTGATTATCTCAGTGAAGACGTCCGATTGCGCCTATGTGAGTCACTCGTAC